GAGATATTTGAAGTGGTTCAACTCTCCTCTATGGTCAATCTCCCGGACTCCCCCTATATATACGTTCTAAGAGTATTGGTAGAGTATCACTAGTATGTACCTGATTATCTGAACCAGTCTGAACTGAATATCTTTAGTCCGAATGGAATAATGGCCGTTTACATCCGTGATGGAGCATATAGTATAGCGCCATAAAGCAGAAGAAGAAGAAGATGAACTGAATATCTGACAAGTTAGCGTCGCGCGCTTTCCCTCTTTATTCGTCCATGCGTCTTCGCGTCTGACGCTGACGCGTCATATTCTCGAGGACGCACCGAAGACGATTTGAAGCGTATTCGCCCGTGACAAGTCGTACGCGAGTTATTATTATCGTTATTATATAGTTAATACCGACTAACTATATAATACTATGGAGAACGTTCGCTCGCCGATGGATAACCTCTTCAACATGTTGTCGGGCTTCAGCGCGGGCCAGGAGAAGGCCCTGAAGCAAGGAATCTACAATGCCGTCGCACTCTTCTTCCTGTGTCTCGTTTCGGCGGCCGGCTACGGCCTCTACATTATCCTGAGTCCCTTCGTCAAACCCTTAATCTGGGCCCTACTGTGCGGTTCCGTTCTCTTTCCGTTCAAGTGTTCGCTGGCCACAACGGTACAGTCTTGGTTCGCCAAAGTGGAAGCGTTGCAGACTCCACTGGTTGTCAACGTCGGCCTACTGCCCGTGCATATATTCGACAATGTCTCCGAGAGAGTGGGTTCCTTTCTGTGGACGCGCATCAAGTATATTGTCTGGGCGGCGTCGCTGGCGTTGCTGGCTGCAGGCGTGTATCATTACACTCCTAACGTGATAACATGTCTTGCCTGGAGGACATTTCAGGTCTTCACCGCCGTCTCTGGATTTTTTATTCTGACGTGCAACGTCTTTACGGTATCCTCATTCTGCGTCAAGTAGTTTTCTCCTCGCTTTGTATCGTCCTGTAAAAATATCGTGAACTCTCTTGCTTGTTCGAATAGTTAATCAGATTTTATCTTGCAGGTTTCAACTATACTCATCGGCTACTTGACAATTCTATATATTTACTGGACACCGTCAAACTCGATTCGTTTTCGCTACAGTTCCTTCGTGATATGGTTCATCATCAGCATGTATCTGTCGAGCATAGCAGGGGCTTACCGAGTCTTAGTCTTCACCGCTCTCCAAATCCTCTGTGCAATAGGATTTATTTACGAAGTAATACTCATTATGGACAGTCATGAGCTGAATGGCAGGCACTTGACATTCTCGCAGGCAGTGCGTTTCGCTTTAACAAACGACCTATTGCCGAGCTCGCAAGAGGATAAATCCTCTTCATCGCAGGGTGACGACCGGGCAAACGACTGTATTCCCGAAGGCGAGAGCGTGGATACGTCGATTCGCTCTCGAGAAGAAACGGGAAGATTGGCGTCCGCTGATGTGGCGAGTATCGAGAGAATACGTAGCACACCGAGACTCAGCGTAAAGTCAATGTCTTTAGATACGGACGCCGGTTTATCCTCCACATGTAAACCTGCGCGTAACATACATTCTATAACTCGTGCGACATTACGCGACCGTTATCTGCTCGGAAAAATAAGGGCCGAATTACGAACGTCTCTAGATATGCAGGACGACGAGGTCGACACCGACAAATACATGTATGGGGCGCTATACGCGTGTGCCGGTATGCTTCTCTGGAAACACAGGTGGATCACGCACATTCTGGTGATCCCACTGGTACATTATATCGTCAAGCAATTGGGTAGCTATTTCGGCTTTTGGGAAAGGATACTCGGGTATTGTGACTCGACGATACGAACGCTCAAGTCGTGGTCCATGGAACGACATCAAGCGCTTATACCGTCCAATATCAGAGGTCTCTACAAAGTAAGCATTATTGTAGATGAGAAGCTGAGAAACGTTCTGAAAGGCTCTGTTAATGCGGTAGCGACTACATCCGTTATACTTGGCTTGATCGTTTTCACCACTTGCGCATCTATTTTCATCACGATACAGGTATGCGACAAACACGTGTTTGTTCATTATATTATACTGCTTGTAAGGTGTTCCCGGGTTAAACGGCGAAACTTGAAATATGAATTTAGAAACAAGAAAAATTTTCCTTATGCTCGCAAACGCTTCGTTCAAGAGATATTGACTTGAAGATACCGAATTAAGAACGAATAATTTTGAAATAATAGAGGCTTTTCCTTTTTACTGTTTAACAGTACCTAATCAAAATTTACAGTAATTAAAATTGAATTATTCTCTTTACTCTACTTAACAGTAATTAAACTTAAAATAATTATTCTCTTTACTGCTTTACTGTAATCAAAATTTGAGTATTACATATTTTGTTCAGTATTATGTTGAGAATGATGGCTTCCAGCTAGGAGACAAGCGTTACACCTATCGGTGAGAGAACGAGTGGCTGACATTGTGCGTCTGTCATTTCTTCGTACGCTTGCACTAGTCTCCGTTTTAATGATTGAAGGTCATTAACAGGCATTTCATACATTTTTTGCTTGAGAACACGCCGTTCAAAAAATCTATTGATGTTAAATCATTTTGAACGAAATATTTATTACTTAAATTTTGATTACTGTAAAGCAGTGAAGAGGATAATTATTTTAATTTTGATTGCTGTTACAAGGATAATTATTTTAATTTTGATTTAGTAAAGAAGATAATAATTTTGATTACTGTAAATTTTTATTACTGCAAAGAAAATAATTCTTTTAATTTTGATTACTGTTTAGCAGTAAAGAAGATATTTATTTTAATTTTGATATTGTAAATTTTGATTATTGTAAATCAGTAAAGAGGATAAACTTACATTATTTCAGAATTGTTTATTCATAATATTTCTGTAACTTCAGAAATAAATATCTCTTGAACGAAGAGTTCGCAAGCATGCCTCTAGAGGAAAACTTTTTCTTGTTTTGAGATCCTAAATTCATATTTCAAATTTAACCGTTTAACCCGAACACCCTGTATACTGTGTTATTGTATAATTGTACAACAGTCGATTCTACGGTTGATTCTACAGTCGATTCTGTCTGTTTTAGATCTATGCGGAAGGCTTGCATCTTGTTCAAGTAACGGGCGAGATATTGAATTCCACTTTGATGAACAATCCTGATATTGATTGGGTTCCAGAAAAGTGGGAAGAGTCCGTTAACAGTGTTTTAGATAACGCATATACATATGGACGAAGCGCTATCTCGGATGGAGTAAGATTTACTTTGTTTACTTATCCACTTGCAAACGTCAAGCTTACTTATCCAGCTTGTTTAATTCAGATTCGAGGTCTCATGAAAGATCTTGAACCGACGAAAGCGGAGCAGATGGAGAAGAAAGTCTTGGAGCTTTGGGATCGTCTCTATCAGGCGTGGATGATGTCCAATACGGATCCGGATCTTGTGGGTCCTACTGTAGATGTTATGTCTGCGTATACCGCTTGGGAGAGCTTCAAAGAAAGCTTTGGAAAAACACCCCTACGTAAATACTTTGCCTCGAGAAATTTTTGCAATTTAGCATTATTTATTACATTACACTTTTGACTCTTTTTTTTACGTAGAATTGTGTTGATTGTGTCTATTGTAGTAAGGCCCAGTTTTACAAGTGTCGGTTAACGTTTAACCTTAGATTAACTCACTCTTTGTCTCCTTCTAACGTCCCCCTTAGAAAGAGACAAAGAGTTAATCTAAGGTTAAAAGTTAACCGACACTTGTGAAACTGGGCCTAAGGACACTGCTTTGTGTATAATATAACAATGGAACGACATTGCTTCTCCTTTTAGATTTGTTCAATATGACTAGCATACAGAATTTTGCCAAAGAGAATATTGGCATTTTGATGTCGGTGCTTGACTCTCTCTGGGGCATCGTCAAAGGCAATATGTCTGTGATACTGACAGTTTTCACGGAGCTGTTTTATATCGTACTCATGAGTGGATCGGCGGTACTTAATTTTGTACTCAGCACGGTATGCAGCATATTTTTGCAAAGTTGTACTTTTATAAAGGAAAAGAAAAGACATGAGATGTAATAATTTGTTATATTTCAGGTTGTGTTCTTTACAACTTTATTTTATTTGCTCAGTTCCAGCGATAAAACTTATAAACCCATCGAATTGACAACAATGTTTAGTCCTATTAGTTGCCACAGGTAACTATCTGATATCTGCAATTTGACTTGTGCTCTCCCTTTCTCATGTAATATTTTTGATTTTATAAAATTATTTTCTTTTAACAAGCACGCTTCATGTGGAAGGGTAAGTTAGTCTTTGTATAATGTGATCGAGTTAATATTTATTTGGACATTACTGCCGTGAAATACGTAATCGCGCGCAGCGAAAACATTTAAGATTTAGAAACAACATCGATTTTGTCCAGGTTTGCTGTAGCGTTACAAGAAGCGGTAATTGGAGTATTCGCGGCCACCTTTAAACTCGCTTCCTTCTTCGGCATGTGGACGTGGTTCATACACAATTTATTCCAAGTAAAGATTGTCTATTTACCGTCGGCCCTCGCGACTATGTTGGGGGCAGTTCCTTTCTTAGACGCGTACTTTGCCTGCATCCCGGCTGCCATAGAACTTTGGTTTACTCGTGGATCGATGATTGCTATCACCTTTTTTCTCTTTCATTTCCTCCCATGTAACATAGTAGTGACGGAATTTTATAAGGAGATTAAAGGGTAATATTGTGTTTCGTATTATATTCTAGAAATATATCTTCAATCACGATTCACGCATCGTCTTTACACGCATTTCATTTGTTTCAGTGGTGGACATCCTTATCTGACGGGCCTATCGATAGCGGGTGGAATCTTTTGTTTAGGCGTGGAAGGGGCTATTTTTGGTCCTTTGCTCTTGTGTTGTATTATGGTTGTCATCAATTTAAGCCGACGTTACCTGCACTCGCCTGAGGAGGAAGCCGTGTTGTCGACATATCCCAACCATGAAAGAACATCTCAATATGAGCCAAAATAACATTACGGTTTTAATGGGAATCGATATCTCTGTTTAGCAATATCACGAGCTACGGGCTTGGCTCCAGCTTTTGTTATAGAATATATATTAAAAGTTTGATATTAAATATTTCCTGAAAGTCAACGCTGTATGATGGCTGGACTAAACATACAGTGTAAATACAAATGCGAAAGTTGTGCTTTATATACTTTTTTATGTGATAAGAGAACTATAATACAGGTGTCTCAGCTTACGCTTATTAGACTTAACAGATATTTATATTGTATGGATAATTAAAAGAAGTTATTTTATTATTTATGAGCACTCTTAATATAATTTTTTTTTACGAATTTAGTTTTAAACGACAATAGATTTTCAGTCTTCCACCATCCTTATATCGAGAATTTTACAAAGACAGATCTGCGACAATATCGTTACATTAGGCCTGTTTGTTTTCACTGCACTTCTGAACTAATGCAATAAGTTAGAATGAAAGAAAATATATTTGTTTCATTCTTATTGCACTAGTTCAGAAGTGCAGCGAAAACGAACAGGCATATTTATGACGATGTGATATAAAAACTTATATACACGATACAATTTTAATTTATCACATTTCGAGAACGCTACGTGTTGTTTGTAACGTATTGATTAGTGTTAAGTGTGTAAACAAAAAACGTATAAAAAATATATATATGTATATTGTGGTACTGACTTCAAGATTTAACATTTATATTATATGTTTATATTTCTCATGTCAAATGTGTAACCAAAGATATGATAATAAATTTTCTTAACATTTAATGCACGTATTGTCCTAAATTATAGTTCGTTGAAGCAAAACGCAATGTCCAGTCTAATGTCCACGATAGTCAGTGGAGCCGTAATTGTGCTTATTATTCTTATTGGACTTGAGGTTTACTTACACTATGATACTTACTTTGTATCAAGGAGAATTTGAAGGTATGGAGTATAATATAAATGAAGGAGTTTATTTGTGTCGCGATAAAAAGTTGATACATATAGTATTTATCGTAATTTAAAGGGACTGTATGTACAATTGTTGAAGTAATTTTCAACCGACGCTTTATATACAATGCATTATAGAAGGTTTTGACTAATCTAACTTTGTCCTTTTAACAAAGGAATCATCATCAAAATTGCCATGTGTATTGTAAATATTCGATATATGTGTGAGTTTTATATTGTTCCGTAATAATTCAACTGTGGTTGCTTCATGCGCGTGGAAAATAATTTCTTTCTCTTTTACAAATATATGAAAGCCATTATCCGAAAAACGACCACGTATATTGCCTACTTCTAACCACACGAATAGCGCTATGTTATCTGTCGATAATACAATTTTGAAATCTGCATAATTGGAAAGTTTCCCAGGTAAATGATTCTCTTCGATCTTCATCTGAAACGATAAATATTTGCGCATTAACATTTCTCTCTGGCAGCACTTACAATGTCTGCATATCGGACTTTGAATGTGACACAAAATTAATCCGCTTACAGTGACATTGGCTACTGGTACATCTGCGTTTTTTAACGCATCAGGATATATGTAATTGACTGGCGCGATTAGGGATCCAGATTTATTCGTGAGAGATAAAGTGACTATGCAGGATTTTTTGGCGGATTTCAAGGATGACCCACAACCCGCTCGAAGCAGGAACGCGTCTAACCAAAACGATGTAACTTTCATGGCTTTATTAGATTCCTGAAAAAGAATTATAATATTTATACACGGATTATGTATACATGTATCCCTATTACTTTATCATACTCACTATTATAATATCATTGAAGAATAATGCAAATATAGATTTCATGGATTCCCATTTGTAAACATAAAGTTTTACTGTACAATTTGTTAAGGTGTACAATCGATCAGATATTACATATATCGAGAGCTCGTTGGAGGTAGACAAATGTGGTGTAACGATAATGGGCGCGAAGAAATCCTTGGCATAATAATGCAACATTTTCCAGCGACCTTCGATATCTGTAAATATAACATAGAGAGGATTTTCTTAACACATGCAAATAATAGAATAGTTATGATATCTTGTAACTAGAACGATCAATATGATATCGTCATATTTCAATAAAAGAAAGAAAGCGTTATGGAAGCAGAAATCACATTTCCCACACGTTTTATGCATCTATCGTCTCGAGAATTTTGAAAAAAGATCTTATATACATAGAAAAGACTTGTCTAGATTTTTTAATTCTAATTCTAAGATATTAATTCTTTGAATTACCTATGGAAGACCACGAAGGAGCTTGCCAAACATCATTCAGCTGCCAATAGAGAGCTCCCATTGTCATACCCTCACCTAAGGAATTCACCTCTGACTTGGCTTGCCTATACGCTTCCGTCTGTATCTTTATAGAAACTGCTTGATTAACCTGACTGAGGTATATATAACTCGCGAAATCTCGAACGCTGTTGTTACTTTGCGGTATAACAAAGTTGTGCAAGATCAGCAGCCGCATATATTGATTGCCGAATGGTTGATGTTGTCTGTGTTTTACGAAATCGCTGTTGACATGAAGATCTTTCGTGCTTTCTATAGCAGTCGCTATCGTGTATATCGACGGCCAAGATTGAAATCCATACTCAGAGCAAAATCTCGTCCGAGGATACTGAGTGATATCCCATCCATTTCTGATGTAGTTGTAATAGTGAACTAAAAAGCGGCAAATATTAAGCGTTAATATAACCAATCAAATCTAATTTTAAACTGCCACAAGAAAAACTATTTGCATATTACCGTCACCGTAGAGATTCGAATAAGGATTTACTCCAGTATAATTGTACGTTTCTTCGTATGCTCCGTTGCCTGGACTAGACACGACGAATGGTCTTACAGGATCTAATTTCTCCACTTCCGTCTTCAATAGATTCACGTAAAGTTTCACGTAATCCTCTCTATACACCTGAGCAGAACCGGTTCCGTACCAATTTCCATAAAGCGCTGCCTCATTTTCGTTATTGCCAGCCCAAAGCACGATGCTTGGATGGTTTTTCAAACGTATTACATTTTGTAATATTTCTTCTTTTACACTACCCAGGAATGAGTCGCTCGTGGGGTACATGGCGCATGCAAACATGAAATCTTGCCAAATCATGATTCCATATTCATCGGCCAAGTCGTAAAATAATTTCGATTCGTAGACACCACCGCCCCACACTCTCAGCATATTCATGTGTGTCCCTTTGACGGATAACAACAAGTGCCTGATGGTGTCTTCTTTCGCACCTAGCTCGGGAAAGACACTGGCTGGAATAAAGTTGCTGCCTTTGGCGAAGATTGATACGCCGTTTATGCGAAAATAAAAACTCAATCCTTTCTTCAGAGGTTCCTCCACCAGCTCAACCGTTCGAAAGCCTATACGAATCCGCTTGTATAGTGCATCGTTTGTCGTTGTCACAGTGGTAGTTAAGTAGTACAACTGTTGCTTGCCATAACCATTCGGCCACCAATTCTCAATGGTATCCTGACCAGAAGAAAAAAAGAACCATTAGGCTACAACACTAGAGATACAATTTTGTTTTTATTTGAATGCACTTGCAGGAGAAACTGGTGAAACAAAATATGAAATAAAGAAAAAAAGAAGATGCAATCAGTATTGTATACATCAAATAATTCTTTTAATAAAAACTGGACTAAAAAACTATTTGATATATAAAACACTATGCAGTGTAATCCCAGACAGCATGCCTGTCCAAAATTGGGATATATTAAAGACATCTTTAAGACGTTTTATGATATGATGTCTTTAAGATGTCTTATGTCCCGATTTTGTCTGGTGCAGTCTGAGATTTTTTTATAAATGTTACAGTATTGATAATTGTTAAAGTTTACCGCAGGTACGATGAGCGAAATGTTAACATTTATGTATTTTCCATTTGCGTCAAATACAACCTCACTGACATTGCTGATAACTTTACTTTGCGAAATATGCAATATCGATGCTATATGACAACTGATTTTCGTGAATCTTTCATCCTCGCTCTGCGTTGCCTCGAGAAATATCGTAACGAGGATGTTCCAGGCATCATTCTCTTTGCGTATGTCAGTCGTAATGTCGTTAATCAATATATCATTTACGGGAATCAATTCAACATCTCTCCTGCAGATTTATTTCTTATATTTATACCAGTAAAAATATATTCGGTAAGAAAACAAAATATACTGTTAAAGATATCGAAAATAAAATATACTGTAAAAGGTAATCAGTTCCTTATTACCAGATGCCAACCGAGGGAAAAGCGGGTCCCCAATCCCATGAGAAACTGGCCTGCATCTTACGAATGTGATTTACATGACATTGTCCGTTGTATTCCTTAGGTACACACACTGGTGGTACAACGTAATTTTTCTTTTGCTCATTGTATAAATCTTCAGCTGCTTTAACAGCTGAATGAAATGTGACTTTCAGTAAATTCTGTCCTTTCTGCATATTTTCCGGATAAAATAATAATTATATTATTCACGCGTATATTTTGTACGATTCTCTTGAGTTCTTTGATTACCTTAATAACATCTGTCACGTCAAAAATATATCGTACGAACATATTTGAACCCTCTCCGACTACATGATTGTTCAAAGAAATATTGGCAAATGTATCAATTCCATGAAAAATCAAGACTATCTTGCGAGCTTTTAGAAAATTTTCGCGCACTGAAAATAATGCGTTTAGATTCCGTTCTTAATGTTAACTGTTATCAAATATTATATCTCATATATTCGTGTCCCAACTAATTTACCGCTAAAATTTTTAGTATAAATCACAGATTGATTTCCGACCCAACGATTATTGATATCGTTTCTTCCATGCAGATTGTTCTCTATTATGTTGTTCTTACGCAAGTCTGTATAAATTCCTCCAGGAACAGTCGCACTGAAATTGGCATCTGTAAAACAGAGGAATTGTTAGGTCATTTACGTGAAAGGTAAATATTTCTGAGAAAAGCCGTTCATCATATTTGAAAAAGATTACATGTATACTCTTCTTAAAACTAAGTTCTTGTCTCTTACCATTGTTGCATTCTTCGAAGGGCTTTTTGTCTGGAAAATATATTTTTTATTGCAATTATAATTGCATATATATATATATATATGTATATATATATATATATATATATATATATATATATGTACTATATCTTTACTGAAAAAGATAAGAATTTCTAATAATATTTACCACAAATATTAATGGTCCCTCTCCATTCACCATTTAGGGTTATAATTTGGCAGCGTACACTGATTAATGATGAAATCCACAATGCCAAAATAAAAAACATCATTTCGGCAGGTGGCACTTACGTTGAAGTATGATATAACAATAATCTGAAATCAAAGACTGCAAATAATACAATAGAAACCTTTTCCGAAGTAAGTATTTGTACTTACTCGCCCGTCACTTGTCGCTTTTCGTGAAAACCTACCAATTTCCAATAAAAAACATAGAGATAAGATCACAAGAGCGAACTGTGGCTTATTTATAAAGAGCAGTCTGTTACTATCTAATCCACGGATGCAACGCTTTTTCGTTCGGAGTTTGATTATCATTTTAGATTAGGGCAAAGTTTATCAGCCCATAACCTTGATAACAAGAGAGAGAAAACGATAATATACATAAAATTCACTTTATATTATCTATTTGTAATCTTTAGACAACATAAAATTATCAATCGAACAAGCATGCCGTGAGCCTCGATCCTCTCTCGATACCTCTTCTCGTTGCTGTTTGCACGAGTTGTATCACGTCTCTACCAGTCTCTACTTTGTAGCTAGGACTAATGAAAACGCCCGAGTTAATTTCAATTGGCATTTTATTTATAAATAACAGACTTCACAGGTATAAAAATATTTTAGGTTGATTTACAATTTAGCACGCGTTGTATTTTCACACACAACGACACACACACACACACACACACACACACACACACACACACACACACATTTACATATAGTTAAATCTCTCTCTCACCGCGTAAAATATTATACAAGATTTAATACATGTCCTTAGGAATTTACGAAAGCAACAGCCATTCGTCGATTGCTTTGTCCATGTATCGCGCGTATATTGCAAAGCGTAAAGTTCACTCGAGCCGCTCGAGCGTAGGAATGGAATGATCGTGAACTGTATAGTATTAATCAATTAATCAATACCTCTCTTTTCGACCTCTTATAATCTTTTGATACTGAAAATAGCACTTTATCGCCTGTAACATCGCATCTTTAATAGTGCAACACATCGCCAAATCGTAATAAGGAATTTCTATTTTCTTTATCGTTACTCAAAATGAACGAAAACGTAAAATAAACGAAAACGTGAAAAAAGAATAGAATGAGATACAACATAGTAGTCATGCATTTACTTTGAGGACAACTCAGAATATTTATTCTTTATCAAAAGAGGCTGTACAAAAAAATAATAATTGACAAGTACATTGCGAAATAAATATATATCTCGCAATTTGCAATCTTAATTTTGATTAAGATCTTTGATGAATTTCAAAATGATTACTCGTCAATCAAAATGTAAATAAGTACCTGGTTTCTGAATTGTGAACGCAAAAAAAAGAGAATTCCCCAAACCGAGCTTTAGAAATCTATCCTTTAGTTAATCTTTATAATATAAAGCAGACTTTATTTTGACAGAATTTTATGTGACAAAATTTTAGTATACGAGAGTGTATGTACAATGTCGAAAGTTGCGATAAATATAATGGCTTCTCTTGACATTGTTGTTCGATTTTTAAAATCGGAAAGTCTATCACTAAAATTGCGAGTTACGAGACATGCGTATACATGTTACTGAATACATGACAAACAATTGTTAAACAAACACAAAATACACATATATCAGTCAGTTCTATGCAATAGCATTTACGTAATTCGTAATTTGCCCCTCCTCCCCAAAAAATTTCTTCGTTTTAAAAATGAAATTAGAGAACACGATTATACATTTCGAGTTCTCATGAGGACGCGAGAACAATCAACGTTTCCTTTTTCTACCAGTATATACATTTTTTTTGCTATTAGATGGAAACTGACCCAAGTAATCTATCTCGGAATCTTTCTGTTCACTGATTGGTATAAAATTGCGAAAGGATGAGGTAGAGGTGGTATTGGTATCTTCAGATCCTAAAGAAAAAGATACACAAATAAAATTAAATGTAAAGAAAATTTGACCAAAATAAAAGATGAGAATTTTTTTGAATAGTCATGAAAGAAAGGTAAAAAAAAGAATGGGATGTCAACACATTTAAATAGAAAATATAAGCCTCTAAGGGCCAGTTTCATCAACGCCGATTAATTGTAACCTTCGATTAAACTCACTCTTCGTCTCTTTTTAACTGTCTTTCTGAAGTGAGTTTAATCGAAGGTTACAGTTAATCGGAGAGGGTGCAACCGCCCCTAACTCGTTAAATTTCCAATACAATCTATAGATCTATTAATCCTTTGTACAAACGGAAATGCTTAAAAGATTTTGTATAATTTCAAGATTCTAAGGTCGATACATAGGAAACCGATGTTTGTTGTGCAAGCCGAATAGAGTTATCTAATGTGTATTATGATAAGATAATATTTATCAGAAACAAAAAATATTACTAACAGATTATGTAATACTGAACGTACCACGTGAGTGTCTTTGATCATTCCTATTATTTATACACTGCTGAACATGTTCCTCATACTCCACTCCATTATTCGTCTTGTAATTGTTGCATATATTACATTCTAACTGATTCGTGTCGTTATTTGTCTCGAATTGTTCGCAATCAGCGGCATGATCCTCTATCTCGTTATGTGGAAACCACTTATTGCATATAGGACAACTTACATTCTTTGTCGTAGTAGGTACATTTTCGGACTGATTACCATTCTGTGCATCCTATAAATGAAAAAGATTACAAAAAGTAACGATACCCTGTAGAATGTTTGGAGAAAGACAGAAAAACGGAGGTGAATATTTTATATATATATATATATATATAACTCACTTGATTTATCTCGGCTGATTTATCCTCATCATCAGATAATAGTTGATGCTCCCAGGCTCCGTTTCTATTCTCTATCCTACACAATTCCTTTTCCTTCCGTTGTTCGCAGAGTCTCAGTCTCTTCTTTTTGTTCCGCCCCTCATCGTTCTCTTCCTCTTTCGCCGTTGCCTGCGTCTCCTTCGCTGTTTTCGACAGTGACAGTCGTTTCTCTCGTAATCTAGATCGCATTTCTCTCGATATCGGCAGCGGCCGAATTTCCACGTCCTCCACCACAACGTCTTCCTCTTCCTCCTCATTATTCCAATCTTCTTCCAGTTTTTGACGGATTTCTTCTGCCGTCATTCTATTGTCTTTCTTTTGAGCTCTTGCCTGTTCAACTTTATTCTCATTAGTGCGCCGCGTCTTTGGAGACGCTTTCGATGTAGCGTTTCCCCGTCTTTGTCTAGTCAGACCCAAACGCGTCTTAGGATTGGGAGGTGTTATTTTTCTAGGATATGCGGTTAATTCAGGCGATACTCTTTCATCCTTTTCATTGGTTCTTTTTTTGGATAAATGTTTAGATTCATTGTCAATATCCGTGTCGATATTATCATCGCTGAAAGACGCGATAATGTCTGATGTTGCTTTATTATGACCGGTATGCGCTTGTTGATTCGTAGCACACGTTACGTTATTCGATTGAGCTCTCTTTTTTTTAACTCGAACAAAGTCGTATCGACTGCCGTCTTCGTCCTCGGTGGAACTGTCTTTATTCAGATTAGCGATGAGAGTATTTGCTTTACGTTTACTAGCTCGCTCGTGACCATCCCGGTATGTACATTCCGCTGGGATCTGTTCGATCTTAGGATCTGTTAATGGTTTTTTATCCAAGCTACCGTTAGCGGCGCCGACCTACAGAAACAAGGATTAGAATCAGAATAAGATTGAATGAAATAAACAACTATCTTTTTTGTAAACAAATATAATTTATTCAAAAAGGCTTCTTGCAGTTTACAGCTTTATTCAATGATTGTGTTTTTGTAAACGCTCATGTATATATTATATCATGTATGTTTTTATATAAATCCAATGTTATAGTATCAATAAAAAATATCAAATGTATATTTATGCGTTTTATATGTATTTTGTCTTAATTTGTTTGGCAAAAAATGCCAATGGCTCACAAATAATTTTACATGTACACTTTTATGTAAGTTAAAGTGATGGAAGCGACGTAATATACGATAAGTAATATACGGAAGTTATATGCACTGAATTAGTATAATAACAGAGAGATGTAATAAATACACTTTCTTATCAGATATGGCATATTGCAATACTGTATTGTAGTTCTAAAGAAAAATGTAGAATTACATTACGAGCGACTGATTTTGACAAAAAAAAACCAAGATCGAAGATATAACTGCTCGTAGAAAGATTTTTCATAAATGTAACGCCTCTCTCTCTCTTTCGATATAAATTAAACCTTTTCCACAACTCGACTTTACCAATAACTCCAAAAATTTCAAATTAGCACATTTATCGGTGAAATTTAAGAGTTGTGCAGGGAGAATTATTTAAGTATATCAAAACGACATAGAAAGTGAGTATACTTTTAATAATATTGCCTAAACAAATACGAAAATCTTACGTCTAAAAGAATTGTTGCACATAAATAATTCGGCAACACCGAATTGTATAATGACGACCGTGTTAGAAAAATACGTATTAGATACATTCTTTAAAAAGCATAGTACTTTACTCTCGTTAGCGATACAAATAATATGGGAGGGATTGCAGGGAGGTACCCACCTGAATGGGTGACCCCCATTGAAATATCGAATTGGTAATGGGGCGCCAACTGTACCATAAGTCTGCTATTTCCTTCAAATGCTGGCTCACGGAACGTATTACTTGGTCGCTCTGATCAGAAGACATGTGTGCTTCTTTGCAATGCTCAAACGGTATACGTTCCCGAGTCGAAGATCGATTTGGCTGTCGCAAAGGCACGTCGTTTTCGTTGATGTTGACATCGAGCGGGTTTAATCGCCATCTTTCCAACTTCTGGACGACTTCACCCTGTGCGTCCTGAGCCGTTCTTCTCTCCGTCGCGTTCTGACATTCCCGCGAAACGTTTCCCGATCTCAGCGAGGGATATCGATTTGTACTGTGCGTGGAGTTGGTGCTATCGTACTGTTTCTCGAATAGCTCGTCGCTGTCGGAGCTCTTACGCCTGTGCACAGGGTTCCGTGCTTCGAAAAGGGACGGAGATTCCGGACTGTTGATATAGTGAACGCTTTTACGTTCGTGCATAGTCGGAGACGTGCGATTCAGTTTGTATAAATACGATGGTCTTGGCATCTCTGTGCACTCCTGCAAAGTCACTTCTTGCTGTATGTTTACATCAGATGTAATATCTGATAGGCACTCGTTATCGGAATGTTGTGTCCCCTAAAAAGTTTTACAACAGGATAGTGAATTCACTATTCATTTCTTTGTATTTCTAATTTCTTTCATTATTGTCATTATACGAAATATATGAAATGTTTGATATATTTCAAAGTTGCATGCAAATAACATATACAATTATTATTATTACATACCTCTTGCGTATTTTTATTATTGGAAGCAATGTTTGATGTATCTTGAGACTCATTGACAAATTCGAGTAGTCTTTTCATTTGTTTAAAGGTAATCCCTGGCTCATATATCCCAATACCTAAAGAACAATCAACAAAATGTCAATTACTAACAAATAAATTCTTAGCCTTTTCTTAATCGAGATAAAGTTTTAACCGGTATGTGCTTGCGAGGGTCAAAATGACCCAGATGCATGAACAAATAAATGTTTTTCCATTTTATTAAAAGCTAATGTGATGATATATTAATTTCAGAACTATTACCAGCTTTAAACGATCACACTATGTTTAAGTAATACTCATATATTCCATGTGGTTATACTTTATACTTGAAGCTAAAATTGAATAATGATTAAAATTTATCCGATCATTTTAAATATCTGTATTTTTTGTATAACTTGCAAGCTATGCATTTACTAACAAAATAGATTATGCAAAGAAATAATATTTTTTAAAATATGGACTTTTAATTTCTAATGTTCAAAAATTTTTTGTTTAAAATAATTGATTTCCACATAAGCATTTACGTCAAAAAAGTCACGCGAGCACTTACAGGTTAAATTACTTGTGCATTATTGTAATTTTTTTTTCTAACGGTAATTAATATAATTCCTGTTGAAACAAAGTTGACTGTGACTTTTGTAATTAAAACTTATTCAATGTTAAAAATCTATAAGTTTATCTATAATATTACTAAGTTTTCAAACTTTAAAGTTAATTTTCTCAAAAATAAACCCACAATTGAAGAAACTTTATTCTACATCTCTTATTTATTTATAAAAAAAAAACAAAAACTCATGCTTAGCTATGTAATTAGTTACATAATGTCTTGTGTATTAAAATACACACATCAAGATACAAGAAATTATAATATGTAATAATATTAAAAATTAGAAATAAAAATTATCTACGTTCCAAAATTCGACATGAATTCTAGATCGTCTAAATACATCGGCTTAATATGTTACATACATATGCATATATTTTGTAAGTGATCAAAAAATCTCAAAATTAATCCCTTTCTGCAATCAATTCCGATATGCCAATCATCTCCACTGTAAATACATCTGATTACCTGTGAGCTTGCGCTTCATTTCCTCTTCTTCGATTTCCCTCGCGGTTAACCTCTTATTTTTCTCTCGCTCCATGCCGTCGGACATCTCTCGTCGGAAATAAAATGGACTCGTGAAAATCGCACGTCGCACGTTCGTCCTTCCTCCTCTTCTTCTTATCGATATACCTTCGGAGGGACAGAGGCACGGTCCCACAGCTTTATCCCTGGCGCGAAATTTTGATCACCTTAACGAAATGTAAATAAAGAATATTGCTAAAACTCCATATATGCGGTGAGAACGATGAGATGGCAAGCTGCGACGCGGTAGCCAATTGGCGACGCAAAGATTCTCCCCAGCGCGCCTGGCGGCCGCAAGTTGAACTAACGTAAATCAGACAGATTTAAATTAGGCCGGTATTTATAGTCGGTTCTTACCTCATAGAAGTTAAGCCGGACAACTTCGACTTACGACATTTTTTTTTTACGAATCGATTGTTAGTCGTTTGTTATTGATTGTTAGACTAATTAGAATGTTTGTTAGTTTTTACGTAATCACGAAAATAATTTTTAGTGTTAATTTAGCCGGTAAATATAGAATTCTTTACAATTTTCGATTCAAACCGTGGTCAATCGATGCGGAATCGTTTGTTAGTTCCGAATATACTAATTAAAACGTTTGTTAGATCACGGTTTCGCTAAAAAAAGCGAAACTGTATCGTTTAGCTGCCGGAGAGTGGGGGTGAGACGTAGAATATGTGGTGGTTTCGGAACGCATTAAGCTGAAATTTCATGCGAGCGAAGAAAAGCCAGCGTTTATCCGTTTATCCCCACTCCACCTCAAGGTGCGATTTCATTGACGCTAGAAACCAGCGGCAGCGTCAAGAAAATGTAGTGGGGGAAGAAGTTCTGTTGAATTTTGCGGTATGTACGCTAAAAAGTTGGTAGACGGTCTGAACTTCTTCCCCCACTACATTTTCTTGACGCTGCCGCTGGTTTCTAGCGTCAATGAAATCGCATCTTTTAGTTTATCAACACGGGAAACGTGCTTAACCTATTTTCAATTTATTTATCAGATTTGTTTATGCCTAATACCTGGCTACATTTCACGTGCAAAAATATAGGTAAGTGTAAAATGCAAATTTAATTTTGAACTTAGTAAAAAGTATCCTTGCAATATGAAAGAGATATAGATTGCAAAAGTAGAGAGGTAATCTACTAAAGCTGTATTTGAACAATTACATCAAATTACAGATTTATGAAATATAGAAATAAACACGCTTATATTGTATGTACAAGTAGATATAAGTAATTTTGTTATCGTACGGAAACTCGCAGTTCAAACTAACTATAAAATTGTTTGCAGATGCTTGATGTCATTGATGTCATTAAGAGGTAGAAAAGCAGTGGAATATCTCATGCACTTCCAAGTAAGTTAGAAAAGCATTAGTGAACTTAATCTTATACAAATCATATTAAAGTACACATTAAAAAAATATAAATATATTTTATCATTGTGTAAGGGTTGGAATCTGTCTTGGGACAAACGCTAAAAGAGAAGCCATAAAATGTCAAAGCGCTTAATCGAAACGAAACAGAGCATCAAGAACCTCGTCGTAGAGCGAGAAGCAGTGGCAGTCGAGCTGCATCATCTACGACCGGAATTTCCGAAGATGGCAGTTCAGGCCAACACGCTGATTATTATACAGAAGTAAGGCCGGTATTCATAGTCTGTTCTTATATTTAAGACCATCTTAAGTACAATCTTAAGATGTTATTAACCAATCACAGAGCCGTATTAGCATCTTAAGATATTACTTAAGACGGTCTTGAAATAAGATCTGATTATGAATACCGGCCTAAGTTTTATTTTCAAGTTACAAATTTGATTTTGGACGTTTCAGAACTTTTATAATTTAATAACAGAAAGAGATAGTAGCAATAACTTGAAAAATATGTGTAACGCTGATTGACTATCGTGTTGTGAGGGCGTAATTTTCTTAACGTTGCCGCGCTATGAAAGGTTTAATTTACCGCATGATTTAATTTATCCGTATGATATTGCAGATCGAGGACTGCAAAAGTAAGAAAAGTTTATAAGAATTACATTTGTAATTTATAGGACGTAAACATAGAAGAGGATACAGAGAGTAGTTGTGATTACATGGGTGAAACAAGTGACGATGTACACAGTGGGTGGTGGTAGCCAATCTGGAGCCAGTATGAAACCATTAGGCGATGATCTTGATACAGATAGCACATTAAAACGGATTCTAGAGCAGGATTATGACCTAATGAGTAATAAGAACAAGGTAAGCTAGTAACTAAATTTTAGTTAATATACATATATATTACAGATATAAGCTATAAAGCGTTTGTGCCGGATACATTTTTCAACAACTAAAAACTATTCCTGCTGTTTGCATTTTATTTACTTTTCATATTTAAATTAAAATTATACAAGGATTGTAATTTATGTTAAAAACAATCTTCAGTGAAACTAATCTTTCACTGAAAACAAATATCATACAAATATATCACTGATATTTATTTCAGCTTATACTTCCGGCGCAACCTATACTGTGATAAATATTCCAGAATCTCTGGCACAGCATTTCACTACGACGCAGTTTACGAATATCCCAAAGAAACCTAACTCTCATATCGCAGTTTACGAATATCTCAGAGAAACTCTCTGATTGTGTCGATTAATTATTGAACAGAAAAAGGAAAATACAATAGCAATGTTTTTTTTTACGTATTAGGATAAGCTGTGATTATATAAAAAAAGAAAGAAAAAAATAACGGAAAACAGAACCGAGCAGGAACAGGACGCAACAGTATATCTATATATTCTGATTTTGTAAATTATTCTACGAGGAAAACACTTGTGTATTATATATATATATATATATATATATGTTTAAAAAGTCGCGTTTTTGTTTATAATATTGTTAATAACTTTTTATTCCTCGTTAATTTTGCGAAGCAAAATAAATCTCACTTATAGCACCCCAAATTAAAGCAATTCATGGTGGTTGCAACTTGGGAAGATTAATTGGAAGGTTCGCAGTAAGCAAAAAACCATTATTACAATGTTATTGCAACAATATTCTAGAACTTGTAATGTTGTTAAATATGTAGTTCTTAATGTTGTATAGAACATCATTATGAACATACTTTGACCACGATTCCGAAATTTCAGTAATGTTGAAATGGGAGTGCCATAACGTTGCGCTAAGGTTTTTCTATCATTCCTGTAATGTTTTTGAGATAAAAATTTAAACGTACTATCAACTTTATTACAATATTATATTAAGATTACCGTAATATTAATTCTAACATTTATTTAAAGTTCTTATTGATGTTTTAGTTCTATTACAGGCAACATGTTTTCAATAAATATGCAATAGTAATAAAATATTTCAATATTTATTGTCTAATTATTATTTAGATTGCTTTTTTATAGACCAGACTTGGACAACTTTGAGCTCCAGAACCACGACACTTCTTTTCTATCCACGGAAAGTAGGGGAGTGTCGTGGCTCCGGAGCTCGAAGTTGCCCAGGCCTGTTATATACCAATCTGCATTAGGGAATAATTCACTAATTATCATAAAAAAGTTTTATTTATATAAAAATAATATATACCATATATATATTACAGTTTTCAGTTTATCACAATAATATCTTTGGTGAAGATCACTGATCCTAGCGGAAGGTTTTGGGATAAAACTCATCTTTCAAATAAAAAAATTTGTTACTATAAATAATCACTCGCGCGGAGCCACGCAAGTAAGATAATATATTTATCACTTCCTGAAAAATAAAAGTAGAATTAAATTAGTGAAAAAGCTACTTATAAATTATAACGCGGCAAACTATAATAATTTTATTTTATAGAGAGTATATACCGAAATACATTACATTACCTTTGTAATGTTTTTTTTTCCTTACGGACGTTTGCGAATCTGAACCACTCCATTACAAAGTGTTCAAAATCTTTTTCTGTATTTCGAGGGAATATTGCTCTAAAAGCTTCTGGAATAAGAAAAATTCAGTACAGTTTATTGTTAGATGAAAGAAATAAATAATGTTAATTTAATGGCAATTAAAACTTATGATAATTATTGAAATAACACAAAAGTTTCCGGAATAGTTTACATATATACTAAATCGATCAAAAATATTAGTTTATGGATATACATATTTTTCTTTTATTTCGTAAGAATTTTTAACGTGTATGTGTGTCCTGCTTTTTAACGATGATTGCTACAAAAAAATAGGAGACAATTTTAATAAATTCTGAGACATAAAACATAGCATTTAATACTGTAAGTAATATATACATCTCTTAAAAAATTACTTACTTTTAATGCTCAGAATTGTGTGTGCGTATCTCCAATTTTATAATTATTTTTTTGGCCAGTCCATAAATACATGGAGGCTAAGTCATCAGAAAATGTAGCCCTCAAACTTCTTCTAATAAAATTCTTTTCATGTTTCCTTCCAATTAACATAACCTTGTTCACCTGAAAAATTTATACTTGTAATTCTATATAATGCAGTTTATTATTATAAATTGCAAGGAAAATAATTCAGAAGACTTTTAAAATATAATAACACATATTATAGAATATTATAGAACATATTAAAGGACATATATTATAGATATAAGTTTGTAAGATTAAGAGTCAGAGTAACCATTTTTGGTTTTGGACGCATTAAGTGCTCCTCCTCAAGATTCTATTTGATCATTTTAAACATAAAACATACAGTTGAATACATTATAGAGATTAATACAAATACATTTTGATTTTTGAAGGATATACCATATTTGAAAACTTTACCGACAAAATTCTACCTTCTTTTAGAAAGTTTACATATATCGTATTGGTTGCATAGAATTACAAATGCTTTTACATAATAAAAATAGGTGTAAATCAATTAGAGCATTTGCTCAATACATCACAAAAATGATTTAAAAATTTCAAAGTAAAGATCTCGGGCTGTCAGTGTATAAATATTTATTTGTTACAAAAATTGTACAACTTTTATATATTATCAGTATGTTTGCTCCGTTAAAGAAAAGTGTAAAAAAATATTACTGTACCATTTCCATTAAATTTAAAAGCTTAAAAATATATGAAAAGTTTGCAAGAAGATTTTTATATATAAATACTTAAGCTTTCTGCTAAATATATGGTAAAACAAAGCAACACACATTTATGTATAGAAGATCCATATATATGCATAAAAGACTTGAACAATGTAGTATGAATGCGTTAGTACTTATTTGATATGACGTTTGGATGATTTTGTCTGTATGTTACTGATACTTTTAAGAGTTTTTCATCTATTTTTTCATCTAATAAATTATCATAAACAAAAAATATATGCATATGTTACGCCACAATCAAAATAACTATAAACATAGTAGATACATCAGATAATGCGCAATTACTATCTTTGCTATGGGCACTACATTGAAAATAATACCAAAAAATTGGTAAAAATTACAAGTCCTGGTGATCTCTTTGTCGACTCTAAATTGCAAATATTATATATACTACTCTTGGAGAAAAAGGGAGAAAGAGAGAGAGAGAGAGGGAGGGAGAGGAGATATCTCTTACAGTCTTTTCTCTTAATTCTTAAATTTTTAAAGTCTGATTTTATTGTGTAAATTTATATCTACTACGATTATGTAACTATTATACTAACCAGAAATGTTATTTGTAAATGTTTATACAATTAATTATAATTGTGATAAGCAGCTTTACTTACAACTTGCATGAAAGCTTCTTGATCAGTTTTTAGCATATCTTCAAAATGTCAATGGAAGATAAAGAGATGAGATATTGTCCAATCTTTGTATCTTGTACAATACTTTCCTTAGAATATTGCTCAGCCTCGCGGCCCGAGTACATCAAGAATATGTTCGATCCTTATTAATACTTTGGTATATTTCTTTTCTTCTGCAAATCTCTCTCTTATAGGTTGAAAAATAGATCTTGAATCACCAGCTACCTAGACAGCACATTACAGCACATTAGATAATTGCAGAGTTCTTATCATTAATATGCAAGATTTAGAATATAATAATTTAATACTTACCCATATAAAAATGTTGTATACAATTAAAAGCGCTCGACAGCACAAGCACAAACGTACGTATATATGACACACTCACGCATCATACGTATATGTAAGATAATGCGACTACAGTCTCCAGAACTATTACTGCTTCCGATTGGCTGTCGCGACAAGCGTGCGTTTGCTCATGATCTCGACGCACTCAAACAGCTGAAAATAATCGGCAGTAAATTGCAAGAAAATAGCAAATAATTCCATTATATAGTTTCTACCGATACCCAAAGAACGTTATTTGTAGTTAACCTAAATTATAGGTTATAGATCATCATATCAGCTACTATTCATAGCACATATGGTTAATTGAGTTCTTATTATTAATATACAACTTTTAGAATATAATAGTTACTTATATATAAATATACTGTAAATAAAGAGCACTCCGCACTGCTCGATCCACACGCGTGTATACGCACTCACGCATCGTACGTAAATGTACGCATCATGGCTGTCGCGATGAGCGTTAGGCACAATATAAAACAATAATATTCTAACAACAGAAAATTAATATATTACCAACGTTATTTCCAAGTCCAAATTACAAGGAATTTTGAACTGTTGCATTAATCTCAAATAAATGTCAGAGTAACATTTGAAAAATATTTTCTGTAACGTTTTTAAAATATTTTAACATTCAGAAAAATCATATTACAAAATAATATTTTTCAAATATGTGTATAATATTATTAAAAAATGTTTAAAAAATACACATAAAGTCAATATTTTTAAACGTTATTTTAATGTTCCTTGCTTATACTGGGTGACTAAGCATATTTTGTCCTCCTAAAAAATTATTTTGAAAATATTGATATAAATAATCATAAAATACTGAAGTGTGTGTGTATGTGTGTGTGAAAGAGAGGGGGGGGGGAGGGAACAAGGGAGATAAATATTTTAATAATTTATACATAATTTATAATTAAATTGTTATTCGTTTCTTGTTATTGTTATCTTATTGCACATTTGCAATTTTATTATGTCTCTTATTCTTTACGTTTTATATATTTCGAAAATATAGTACAATATATTATTAATTAAACCTATATCTTGTCTTAGCCTTAACTATATACTGCTGCCGCAAGCGAGTTCCGACTTTACTACACTTACTATAACTTTCAAGATGATACCTATAAAATATTCAATGAAGATTGTGATACCTGGTCGAAGAAAGTAGCGTTATGTATAGATCTGTTCTTGGTGCAATATGGCCATTATGATCACGTTATTATACATATCCTGCATTCGAAATGAGATGATTAAACGTTGGAGATAAAAAAGCTAGAAATGTTTTTGTTTTACTCATTTTCACGTTTCTTTACAAATTATGACAAGGAGAACAACCCGAATACTTAGCCAAATCTGTCGAGAACCGAAATGAAAGTGTGTACAGCAACGTTTGTCGCGACAGAATGTCAACAGAAATATAACAGAATTTTTTAACTAGAATATAATGAAAGATCGATCATAGAAACCGAGCAAAATCTGTCGTTTCGTAACAATTTAAATAATAGTATTCCATTATATATAGAATAAAGTATTTTATTTTATAGATGTTTACGAAATGATAGATTCTGCTCGGTTTCTGCCGACAATCTGCTGTCAAATTGCATCAACAGGCTCCGCCGGCAAAACAAGAGTTTAATTCGGACACAGATGTTGTCATACTGCAGGCAGTTTGCTGACTGCTGACTGAGACGACAGTCTTGAAGAGAAAAGATGCGCCAAAAGCGCAAGAGTAGACGACTCTGATGCAAAGGTGCAAGTTATTTTCTTAAAATCGTCGTTTGAATTTACCGTTTTCTTGTTCATCGGCGATCCGCGATGTCAATGGCATCGAGATCGATCAATTTTTATTTATATTGATCTTATATTGATGTCATCGACATCGCGGATCGCCGGTGAACAAGAAAACGATAAATTCAAACATTTCAAACGGATTATCTAAATCTAAGTCTAACGTATCGCAGTTGAATACTCCTTAGATTGTAATACTTACCCCAGCGAGAGTTTCTGTTCTTCCATAACTTTTCTATTTATTCCGTCTCGTATCGAACCGTGCGCGTTACCCAGGAGAGAAAAACCACGCGAATCGCCGGGGGTCGCTAGACGTATAGGTATACATACATGTAAAGACATAAATATGCATGTGCGGGGGGCCGGGGCCAAGCGGCCGAGGGTCAGGCCGGTCAGGCGTACAGGAGCCCCAAGGTGCACGTATCTACTCGCCACGACCTCGACCCGTCGTGAGATACAACACGGCAAACGGCAACACGGGCCGCACGGGCGTATGTTATGTATGTATACATACATATACATACATAACATACAGTACCACAAGTATATACCGTGACAGTACGGCAAGTACGCTGCAGTACGCTGCCGGCCGCGTCGAATCCACGTTCGCGTTGGTTGCGCCGTCTTTCTCGGCATTTTTTGCTCCGTGTCCAGCAGATCAGCCAGAACAACTGTGTTCTCGAGAATCTCGAGTATCAAGTATTATTCTGATACGCCGTCGTTTACGTTTTATGTGCATCGATCGTACCAATGGATTTAGTCCGAATATAGTATGTACTTGATACGCGTACTAAACGGTCGGTGTAAACTAACAATAAGCCAGACAGTCCAAACACAGCCACCCGCAGCCCGCAGCAGCGTCCGGCGTCGTGATCATTGGTGATTTCGTCGTGCGTTTTATTGCGTCTTTATCGCGTGCGCGAACGTGTAGGCGCGCGCGCGCGCCTACAGATCTTCGTCATGCCGCTCACGAGATAATGCTGGGTAGGCTACGGGCTGCTGCTCGACGACCGTGTTCCGACGTGACGTTGGACGAGAGCGAAAGCGACGAGGTTAGGCACGCGCGATTTATATCAATCTTCGATCGACGTGTCAAACACGAACGCAAATGGCCGCTGCCGAAGAGGATGTGTCCACACTCGGCGAGCGGATTGACGAGCTGAGCATTTCCGCGACGGAAGACGACGAGACGACGGCGGCCAGGACCGACGGCAATGACGTGGACGTTACGACGAGGAGTTGCGAGCCGCGGCTCTGGGGCTTCGAGACGCGAGAGCTTTACAAGCTCGCGATCAATTTCTACAAAGGTGAGCGCTTAACAAGCCGATACTCCGCTAGCCTAGCGCACGTAAGCAGCGAGCGCTTTGCTACCATTTGCTACGGAAAAATTTGGCTGGACAGAAGCGAGCGCTTCTGTCCAGCCAAATTTTTCCGTAGCAAATGGTAGCAAAGCGCTCGCTGCTTACGTGCGCTAGGCTAGCGGAGTATCGGCTGAACGCACCTACTCGCGTGGTACCTGTGCCACCTCGTCGCGATACAACGCGACCACATTTATTTAGATCAGACATTCAATTAAACATTAAACTACTGCGTTAAAAATCTTTCATGTTTCTCTATGCAAAAATTTATTTTATATACATATATATATGTATTTTCATATTGTCATGCTGATTTTTATAACAAAGAAAAATGAATGAATTCCCATAAAGATTTTATTCTAAATGTTATGTATTAAAGATAATAATACAACTGAAAGATACGTACAACAGTTTCTATTTTCTTTGTCAAATAGTTGCTAATTTTAAATGGTATATTTTGTAATAAGAATTGTCAAGTATAGATAATGTATATATCTATATAAATTTTTGTGAGCACTTTCAGACTTATAAAAAAAATGCACTTGTAAAAGTTTTTATATAAAATAAGATTAGAGTTCTCTTATATTCAATGTATAAGTTTGTAATATGTGTGCAATGATCATGAATTGTCGACAAAAATTATCTTGTTTTATCATGAAAAATGAAATTATAAGATTCTGATGTAACATAAATATGAATGTTGACAAATGTACTTAAATATATGTTTAAGATGTAACAAGTGTTAAAAGAATATGTTCGATATTGTAAATTTGAGATGTATCAAGTAAATAAGTTACATTTAAGAAGTATCAGAATTTTTGACAAAACTATTACCGAAAAATTTATTTTATTTAGAGAAAGAAGGCAAAGCTGTCCATCTCTCTTACGAGGATAAACTGAAACTGGTGGCGTTCACGCAACAAGTGACGCATGGAAAATGTACAGCTGAAAATGCACCACCATTAGGTGTCCTGGACATGATCGGAAGAGACAGGCGCTTGGCATGGCAAAATCTGGGATATATATCGAAGGAGCAGGCGATGGAAGGATTTATAGTATTGCTGGACAAACTTTGTCCTTTATTCAGAACTGTAGTTGAAGCGCAAAAAAGAGATTTTGAAGAAAAGCAACGGCTTAAGAGAGAAGAGGAGGCCAAAAAACTGGAAGAGGAAAAGAAACTTAAGGAGCTAGAAGAGGAGAGGAAGAAGCAGGAGGAAGAGAGATTGAAGGAGGAAACTCAAAGGAGGCAGATTCAGGATGCTTTGAATCAACAAACGTATTATCAGTTCAAAATATACGCTGAGCAACAGTATCCTGGCAATCCAGAGCAGCAAGGCGTTTTGATTAGGCAATTACAGGAACAGCATTATCATCAGTACATGCAGCAACTTCACCAGAACCAGTTAGTTATTGAGGACCAAAATGAGGAGGAAGAAGAGGAAAAGGAGAAGACGAAGAAAAAGAGCGTCCAATCGGAAAATGTGACGTGCAAAAATGACGATAACGACGATGACGTCAACAACAAGGATGACACGAACGAAAATGTGAATGATGAAGATTCAGATGAGGTGGAGGACTGGCCGCCCATAACTCCTGCAGAGATGTGGACGAGAAAGGGCGTGGAGGAATTTAAGCAGACCATCAAAAGGGAAACGGGCGACGCGGTCATCAAGGTCGGCCACGGGGAAACCGTCACGGTGCGAGTACCGACGCACGAAGACGGTACGTGTCTGTTCTGGGAGTTTGCAACAGACGGTTACGATATTGGTTTCGGGGTTTATTTCGAATGGTCGAAACCAGAGACGAATCAGGTGTCCGTATACATAAGCGAGTCGGAAGAAGACGAGGACGAGGAGGAGTACGAACCGCGGGAAGATCTAGAGAGCGGGTCGGTGAATGGTAACGCCCGACCTGAACGTAGAACAACTACCCCACCTATAAGCGTTATAGTACCCGTAAGTACTCAAATACCATTTGTATTCGTTTGCAGATAAAATTGCATAATTACAATTTAAGTTACACAAGTTTTATACTAATATATTATTTTGTGTACTATTTAAAGATATATAGGAGAGACTCGCAAGAGGAGATTTACGCTGGAAGTCATCAATATCCAGGCGAGGTAAAAGCATAAGAAAATGTGGTTTATTATTTAATCGCACGTGTATGCATACGTGTTTCGCCGAAGATAATTAATTATTTATCATCGTTACTGTTCTGCTTGCAGGGAGTATATCTTCTGAAGTTCGACAATTCATATTCGCTTTGGCGAAGTAAAACGCTTTACTACCGAGTGTATTATACGCGGCAGGGTTTCAAGAATAATAATAATTAGTCTTTACGTTGCATATCGAGACGTGATGTATAACGAGTACATGTTGTTGAGCACTAGCCTTGGCATAATCGTCTACTGATAATGCTAGTCCAACTGAATAAAGAATCCCATCTGTCCTATTTGTTTAGTTCGCGCGAAAGCAACAAAACTGTTCACATACAAAGAAAATATATATTTATTATATAGTTAAGTAAGAACACGATATGTTCTGTAAAGTGGCAAAAGTGTGTGCGCGAGGAGAAAACGGATTCTAGACTGTCCTCGAGAGGTGAGAATTCCTATGAGGCGTATGTGTCATATGTAAATTGGCAATCGACTCTTCTACGTGCATAATATTGCGTACCTGCGGCGATTTTTGCGTACACCATTCCTCGACGCAGGTGTCGTCATCTCTTCGCGATTTTTGACGAAATTTTCAAGTGTTCGTATCGGCGCGCCAATCTTTATGTATACATGATGGTCTCTGTTTTAAAACGAAGGATAAAGGCTGCGTTCCGATATTCACCGCCAATACTAAAAATCTATAGTTTACGTCACATACATTATATATTTTCAGTACTGGCAGTGAGTAACGGAACACTGCGTGTACACGCACGTTGTATATCTGTATTATCTATGTGAATACTGGCTTGTGGAATGTTTTTTGCGACTCGATGTTGTACAAACTTTATCACCTAGCTTAGTTCACTGTCATAGCTTTTATTAAAATTATCTTATTTTTCTTTAAATATAGCAGCAGAATGCGCATTTCTTGTTTTATTCGCATTATAGCGACAAAGCTCACCCCCTTTTCTTCCGTTTTCTAGTAACGTTTATTATACTAGGTACGTAGCCATATTGTTTTTATAGCAATATCGTGCGATTTTGTATTATCCATGATATTGTTAATGGTAATGGTAGTGATAATAATAATAATAATAATAATGATGAGAATATATAGTATATGTATATCCTGTAATAACACATCCAACTACAGACGACTTACACTAACGGGTATGCGTGCGTGATTCCGCTCTTATCGCATTTCCATTTTATCACGTGTTTAACTTCGACCAGAGAGAAACCTCTCTGCTTCTACCTATAATGACATTTAATTAGAAAAGCACTTTTTTGAGACGGCATAAGTTTTGTATCGTTAATTTGTTCGAAGACAGAGCGAAATTGATTCCGTTATTCGCGCCTTAAAAGTACACGTGGATTGTCCGTGAGTGATTAAATAAACGCCGATTAAACGACGGAATTACCCATTGGCTTGTTATATTTGGCTCGTAGCGCGATAGCTATATACGTATGTACATACATATAATATACGTACATACTCATGTAAACAGCCTACTCAACAAGCATAACTTTCTCTACTCCCTAAGCGTCAAGTACCAAGTACTTCGCTAAAAAAATACGGCTTCGTTGTACATTTTCAGTAAGAAAGCTATTCGACGTCCCTCCTGTTCTTCTGGAGCGTGTTTTGCTCGAATACGCGGATGGATCTTGCTCATCTGAATGTAGATTCGATCCTCTGTATAGGATCGAACGTGTCGTCGCAGTGTAGCGCATTCGACAAAACATCATGCAGCTCGCTCGCATGTACTTCGCAATCGCTACGGCGTAACTGTGATATGGCAGTCAACGAATCTCGAAGTTCTACCTCTAACGACGATGCGTTCGCCTTCCTCAATTCTCGCTGAAAATTTTAAACGATGCAAAGCTCCCGCTTTTAGCGTCTGCCATCGCCGCCTGAAGATCGAATGGTCCGCCGTTCAATCTAAACGCGATAATAAAAATTACGATCTTTGGATATTCGCAATACTCGCTACGCCGAAAATTAATTCGCTATATTTCCTCGTCAGACTCGTCACCCTGAGATTCTCGTGGCGGCCTCTGGCTATCTGGCGCGTTATGAGTTATGAGCTCTCCACTTATTGTTTCAGCCCCGACGATCGGACGTATAAAACGTGATTTTAGAAACCACTTTAGAACATTTCTAGAAAATTTACAGGTAGGTACGTATATACCGATCTATCCTTTTTAGACATGTGTTTACAACACCGAGTGTAAATTTTAATCAAAAGTCTCTCGATACTTTTGACTTTTTAAAAATTGTTTTTATATATCACATTTGATCGTCGGCGTGCTCTTATAATTAGCATTTTGGGCTGAAACGATCCGGTAAAAAATTTCTCATATAAAAATATATAATATATATTTTTATATATATATATATATATATATATATATATATATATATAATTATATCTATATATAATTTCTTATTCTTGTATAAAGAAAATAAAACATATAGACGATATATAAAACGAGAATAGGTATGATAGACATTATATGGGCACATTTTCTCTGTTTATATATTATACAGGAAAGAATTAAAAATAATTAAAAGGGTAATTTTTGCATTGCATTTTTATAAAAAGTGAAGTTTTTGAGGAAATGAGAACAGTTTTCCTATATATACATATAATTATATCGTCTATGAATAAACAATACCGCATATATAACATTTTTTTCAAATGCACTTTTTGGCTTCGATTGTTCCGTATTATCATTTTACAGGTAAGATCGTAAATGATTATACATATTATTTACAGATGAGTTCAATGTTCAATGTTCATTCAAGGATGTTCATCACATAAATAGTTGTATATTTCACTTTGGGCACAGTTTTTTGCCTCTCCTGAAAACTTTACTAATTGTTACATATAGACGGTATTGTTTATTCATTGACGACATATAAATGTAATAATCGTATGTGAAGTGTGATATTATATATAGAACATTATAATATTTTGCCATTTTAGCCGGTATTCATAGTCAGATTTTTATTATTATATTATAAGATCGTCTTAGTTCACCTCATAATTGTGACAATTAGAAAGGAAAGCGTCTCCGCAAGCCGCAAGCATATCTTCTGTTCTTCAGATCTTGCCGGGAGCTCTTCAATGGCAATGTTCAGTCTATTATATATACGTCTATGGTTCATCTTTAGCTGCACCGTAGCCAATAAAACGAGTCGTACAACATCTAAAGATAAACAGACGATCTGAAATATAAGATCTGACTATAAATATTAGCCTTTACATATCTTTAAAGAACACAATGCAAAAGTTATTTTTTGAATTATTTTTCAATTATTCTTTTTATTACTTTTTCTATAAAAATTATTCGAAATTATCCAAGAGAAAGAAAAAAATATCTTATATATAATTATATACATATTTATGTGTACAATTTTATATATATATATATATGTATGTATTGTATATAATTATAAGATATTTTATGCAACACGTGCATGGAAAGTGCCACATAAAATAGGGAGTGTAAGTCGTGTGTAAAGATGAAAATTACGACACTTGTTACACAAATAACTATTTTCTTATATATATATGTATATATATATATATATATATATATCTATATATATATATATATATACATATGTACATATTTATGTATATTTTTGTATGAAAAATCTTTGACCAAGAATAAGTTATCACACACTATTCGTGACGCATCGTTCGAGTCTTCAACACGGACGTAATGTCTATATACACAGAGTGTCCTAAGTTTCTTTCAAATCGATCGAAGAATCCGTGTAAATAAAAAAATACGCGTAAGGACATTCCGTGTATCTACGAAACAGCTTCGAAGCAGCGACTTAAGGACGACTTTGAGACAACTCTGATTAATTTAATCGGTAATTATCGTATTCAGTAATGCCTGCAGTAACATAAAATTGACAATTTTTTGTTCATACGTAGGGAAAAAAGATGAGAAATAAACGATTTGCAGAGAATAATGGAAATTTTTCCGGAGTCAATTTCATCGGTTGGATTAATCACCGATTAAGTTAATCCAAGTTTAGTCAAAGTTTAAACTTTGGACTCGCGTTAATTCCTGCGCAATGCTGCTCTTCTGTTTAGCCTTAAGATTACGAATCCAAAGTATTATACGTATAAACACGATGAAGGCATATGTTGGTAAAACGTGTGCGTGTATAATGTATGTGTGTTGAGCGCGTGCAACGCTACGCGCCGATTTTTTGTGATTGAAAATGAAGTTTATCAAAATCTCGGCGCATCTTTCTGGTCATTGCGCGTACGCTCGCATTTGACAATAATAACTGCGTGCAGTGTTAATTAATTGAGCTATCGCTTAACAGATTACTTAATTAGTTCAGATTTACTTCGCTTTATCCTCCGTAGGAAAATGCGCAACTTATAAGTATCGCTCGACGGATCTATGCATAAAACAGTTCCGTAATGATCGAAAAACCGCGCGCACATGAGAAAGATAGACTACATACTCGAAAGAAATCGCCAATAAAATTCGTTCTACGACATCAAGCTTCTTATCTTGAGCTGCTCGGACTTTAAATAACAAAAAAATTTTTTTTCCTTCGTATTATTGTATCTTCTACGAGCAATATTGCTAAATGAGGATTTTGAAAAGAAAATAATTTGGATTTCATCCCTTTTTAATTCTTGTTTATCAAATTAAAAAAAAAAAGAATAAATTTCAATTCCTAGAACGAATTTTCGTAAATCTTTATCGCTTCATCTATATATTTTCCGTAGAGCTGTTCGTAGCATGGCGTGTACGCGAATTTAAACACAATTCGTAACAAATGGTAACAAGTGAAATCTTCGAATCATCGTTTATATTTAAACATGACAATGATGACATATGAGAAAACCGAAAATGTGAATATCGCTATGCATCCGATACATTCTTATTAGTTAAGGTGATCCTAAAGCCGTGATTCTAGCCGGTTTTTTTCTTAGCACTAATCTTTTAATTGGCTTTATAGAAATGCAAAATTCTTGTCTAGAATTAAAGTACGCATCAAAATCTAGGTCATGGTGGTCGAATTTATATCGAAAACGAAAAAAAATTAATATTTTTTGTTATACGTGACGACCACCACATATAAATTCGACCACCATGACCTAGATTTTGATGCGTACTTTAATTCTAGACAAGAATTTTGCATTTCTATAAAGCCAATTAAAAGATTAGTGCTAAGAAAAAAACCGAAAAAAACCGGCTAGGATCACGGCTTTAGGATCACCTTAATTGCCAGCATTTCAATTTATTTGCGAAGGCAAATATAAACGAGCAACTCTCTCAGAGACAATAATATTATTAACTAATTTCATTTCTAATATAAATTTCTTTATAATTTTTATAAGTAATTCTAATAAATTGTTATAATTAATTAATAAAAGATGACGATTTAAAAGAGTAGGTATGTAATAGAACATCGGATTCTTTTACGAAATATATTTAATGCGAATAAATCGGCCGTATTCAATCAAAATGTACAAAATACTAGCAAATCTTGTAATATTCGCGAAATGTAGGCAATATATAAACTTAAACCTAAGGATCCATTAAATGTTCGATAAATGATAACCTAAGGAAACATTGCTTACGATAACACCTCGACAGCTTGCATACGTAATTGACTCTCGACGTTTTGTAATAGCGTATACGCCTAATTGTAAATTGCGCGTTAACTTTCAAATTGGCTTGGCTAAAATAGCGAGGCACATTGTCTCGAAAAATTAATTGTACATGGACTCACTTCCGAAGCGCGATCGTAGTTTCGTTTGGCGCGCTCTGTCCAGCAATCTGGTTTCTATTTGTTTTGATATATACTACGCTCTATATTCGTTTTTGTAAGTGCATTTAACGTTAAATGTAGTTATATCTAATAATGTAGTTCAATAAAA